CCCCCCCCCCCCCCCCCCCCCCACACACACACAAAAGAAAGAGGCCTGTGGACTTCAGCCGCTGAGGAGGAGGTCTCTTCATTTAGCCGAGGAGATCAGCTGCTCTGTTTGGACCAAGGATGGAATAAAGTGAATGCATTTGATTGTGATTGTTGTGACATCAAATATGTGAAGGAAGGGTCGCTTGCAGGTCAGCATGTGAGAAGAGCATTGAGCAATTTTAGTGGGGAAAAGGATCCGTCTCCACATTAAGCTGCTTTTGCTTTTCGTGTCTGAAACTGAATCTTGCAAAACAAAGCAAACAGAGAGAGAGAGAGAGAGAGAGAGAACCTTGACTAGAAGTGGCACATATTTTTCTGTGCGGAGATTTGGAATTTATTAGGATTCACATGTTTATAACCCTTTTTTTTTTTTTACCCCTCTGACTTCCAGTTTCTAACAAGAACGGTGCTGGTTTGGGCAAAACGTTGGGTGTGGCTTGTGGGGCAAGGGAGGGGGGCAGGGTGCTGTGCTTCTCGGCTGAAGCCTGTGACGAGCAGGGGCCGAAGCCACTTGCTCCTCAGTTGCTCACAGATGATCCCACAGGCAAGAAATCGTTTGTTCTGGCAGGAGAGAAAGGGGAACTTGTGGGATCGTGGCTGGGGCAACCTGCCCCAAAGGCAGACCAAGGTGAGTCCACAGAGCATCGGCCAAAGAGTCCACAAGGCACTTGAAAGTTTCTCAAACCAAATAACTCTCCAGGCCAACCTAAATCCGCGCACGAGAGCTCACGAGGCAAGAAAAGTCCAGAGTTTCCAAGGCACAATTCAATTCCAAACATGGTGCCAGTCCAGAGTGAGGCAGGAATCATGACGACCAGAAAACACACAGCTAGGAAAAAAACATTCCCAGCGATACCGCCATAAATAGTAATCTTCTGGTGCAGCCCGAGGAGAGGAGAGGCTTTCTCTCGAGTAGAGGTAGTCCTTTATCACCACGATTGAGCCCAAAATTTATGTTGTTAAGTGAGACATTTATTAAGTGAATTTTGCCCCGTTTTATGACCTTGCCACCGTTAAGTGATTCATTGCAGTTGTTAAGTTAGTAACCCAGTCGTTAAATGAATCTGGCTTCCCCGTTGCTTGTCAGAAGATTGTACAAGGGGATCACAGGACTCTATGACTGATAAATATGAGTCACGTCTGAATTTTGATCATATGACTGGGGATGCTGCAACGGTCATAAGTGTGAAAAACTCACGTCACTTTCAAGTGCCATTGTAACTTTGAATGGTCGCTAAATGAACTGTTGTAAGTCGAGGAGTGCCTGTAGTCAGGCTGACCTGCTGCCTCTTCTCTGCCCTCTGTGTCCTTGGATCAGGTGCAGAAGTCGGCTCCTCCTCTTCGCTGGTGTCTGCGAGCTGAGAAGCCTCAGCCAAATGGCCGTTCAGAGCAAGCAATCAACTCTGTTCCCACAAGCTGACATCTGAAGAGCCACCTGGGGGATCGTCCAAGGGAGTCCTCACACGCCTGATGAAATTTGGACCCCTCTGAAATGCAAGGATGGTCCCAACCCAATCCAGGAAAACAACCTGGTTATTTGTACAACAGGCACAGGGAGGCCTCTCAGGATCGAGCCAACAAGTCCCTCTTTCCAACTGCTGGCCATCATACATAATATTTATTAAAGGAGTTCCCCCCCCCCCAAAAAAAAGAGAAAAGAAACCGGATAGGATGTGAGAAAGGTAGGTGGCTGCACGGTTTGCTCAGCTACTTTGCCCCCAAAATGGACCACAGAAACCAGGCCACGTTTTTGAAATGTCTAGGTGCAGTTTAGGATCCAAAGCCGAGGCTTGGAAGGGATCCAGTCCAAACGCGGCTCAGAGCTTCTGCCACCCTCAGTTCAAAGACCGCCAGGGAAGCTGCTGCTGCGGCAAGATTGGCCTCGATGTGCAGCTGAACTTGGAGCCCCTTGTTTTGTCTCCTGTCTCCTCGTAGCTGGAGTTCTCCCCTGCTCTGGATGACTTCGGTTCAGGTAGGTGAAGGTGCCCATCATGTACTCCGCCACACTTGCTTTTCCAGGCTGAATGCCAGCTCAGGCAGCCTCAGGTGTGGAAACCTCTTCACAGAAGCATCACGGATCTGCTGTTAGACCCCCTGCAATCTGCCTACTGAGCAAATAGATCGGCAGATGATGCTGTCAATATGGCTCTGCACTACATCCTACAACACCTTGAATCTCCAAATACCTATGCAAGGGTCCTCTTTGTAGACTTCAGCTCGGCATTCAATACCATCATTCCAGATATTCTTCTAACTAAACTAAATCAGCTAGCTGTGCCTGACCACACTTGTAAATGGATCATAAGCTTTCTAACAGACAGCTAACAGCAGGTGAAGCTGGGCAAGATCACATCAGACACCTGTACAATTAGCACAGGGGCCACCCAGGGCTGTGTGGTGTCTCCACCTCTCTAAATACTAGTGACTGCATCTCAAATGATCCCTCTGTTAAAGTACTGAAGTTTGCAGATGATATAACAGTGATTGGTCTCATTCAAAACAACAATTAATCTGCATACAGACAGGAGGTTGAGCAACTTGCCTCGTGGTGTAACTGGAACAGTCTTGAACTAAACACACTCAAAACCGTAGAAATGATGGTAGATTTTAGGAGAAACTCCTATACTACCACCCCTTACAACACTACACCACACAGTATCAACAGTGGAGACCTTCGAGTTTCCAGGTTCTATCATATCTCAAGACTTAAAATGGACACCTAACATAAAAAATGTCCTGTGGTGCAGAGTGTGGGGCGCTGTTCCAGGAGCCCCAAGAATGGCCTCCATAGGACCAGTTGCTCTGCGAGCTGCAATTGGCTGCGAATTTGCTTCCATGTGCAACTGAAGGTGCTGGTGCTCACCTTTCAAGCCCTCCATGGCCTGGTTACTTGGGGACCCGGCTCACCCCTCTGGCCGTGTCAGCTATCTGGAGGGGGGGAAGGGAATAGGCAGAAATCCCTTCATCCTTTCCTTCTCTTGGGCTAATTTTGGAATTGCAAATCAGTGAGAGAGAATCAGCCTGCAGTGCTCACGACTTCAGAGACCCAATGAAAGACCCGGCTGTCCTCCACAGAAGGGACCCCATGCAGTTCTGGGCCTGGGTTGATCTCTCTCCCCCCAAGACCCTCGGCCCCTCTCCTGCTCCCTCCCCTCTTGTCCTCCCCTGCACTTCCCCCCTCCCCCGCCTGCAACAAAGGGTCTGCAGCGTAATTTGTGGTGTTTTCTTAGGCAGCAAAAGTCAGCCAGGTCCCCTCATCCAAAATACCGAGGAGGAGCAAAGTCTCCGGCACGTATCCTGGCCCCCAGGGCCTCGTCGGGGCCGGAACCTTCGGCCACTGGGCAGCACGGGCGCCTCCCGGGAAGGGCGAGGGGGGCGGCGGCAATTGAGGGACTGTGGGACCGAGCGAAGGGCAAGGAGGAGCCGGGCTGCCCAAGGCAGGGGGCCCGTTGCAAGAAGACTCCCCCGGCTTACCTGGCTGGCTTTTCCGCAGCGCTCTGGCCGCCCATCCAGGGGCTGCCCTGAGCGCTCCAGCCGCGCTGCCAGCCGAGCCGTTGTGGCCGCTGCGCGAGACCCGCTGACTCGCCTCCCGCTGCGGCGCCTCTTCCGCCGTCGGGCTGCGCTTCGCCCGCTCCTTCCCCGACGCTGCGGCCTTTCGCTCTCCGGCGCTCCCTGCCTGGAAGCCGCCGCTCCCTCCCGCCGCGCTCCCTCGGCCCCGCCCCCCCCACCTCCCTGCCCCACGACTGGACACCTGCACGCCCACCTGACACGCTCGGCCCTTCCGGGGCCCCGTTAATTGGTTGGGCGCAGCGGCGGGACTCAAAAACGGTTACTGCCGGGTCTGTGGGCGTGGCCATGTGACTGGGTGGGCGTGGCTTTCTTTTTGCAGCCCCGCCCATTTTTGGGAGCTTCCTAGCCTCAGAAGAGCCTCTGGGGGGCGTTTTTGCTCCCCTAAGGCTCCTCTGGGGCTCTGGAAGGCAAAAAATTGAAGGGGGGGCCTGAGCTCCTCCCCCCATTTTTTGCCTTCCTGGGCCTCAGCAAGGGGAATCCCGGCGCAGCTGATCGAATCTACAGCTGATTGTCAGGAGGGAAAAAAAGAAAGAAATACTTTAGGCGAATGTCAGGCAGGCGGGCGGGGTGAGCGAGCATCGGGCGGGGGGGCGACCGGGTGGGGGGCGTGGCCAGCCAGAACTTACTACCGGTTTGGCGACCCACACCAAATTCTTGCTACCGGTTCGCCCGATCCAGTGCAAACTGGCTGAATACCACCACTGGTTGGGAACCCAGAAAACACCATTGTAGCCATTTCTCCTCCAGTCATAAAGCAAATGCCATGGTCATTAAGCAAGTCCCTTGTTTGTCATGTGGTGGTTGTTGCAGGAATCTGGAAGTGAACTCTTGTTTCCAGCAAAAAGTGGTGCTAATCTCTGTGTTGTGACCAGGGGAAGCTGCAAACAGCTGTAACTGTGGGCTGGTTGTGCAGGGCCGAAAGTGCAGTCCTGTGACTACGAGGGGGGGCGCAGCCCTCAGAACTTTGAATCTGGGTCATAGGTATCTCTGGGCTCCGTCGTACCTTTGAATGGCCACTAAGTGACCAGTCATAAGTTGAGGACTATCTTTAAAGAATTCCTGTTGTGTTTACGACACCCGGACAGCTTCCTCCAGATACCTAGGTACACCCTGTTCTTTATAAACATAGACATCCATTTAGGACAACGGAGCTCAATACTGCTGAGCAAGACCATTGTGGAATGAGCCATGGCCCACTTTCATGCCCCGTTTGCTGGGGTCGTTCAGTGAGTCAGAAGTTGTGAAGCGAACAGTGTGGTTGTTAAGCAAATGTGGCTTCCTCCCTTGATTTTTCTTGACTGGAGTCAGCTCTGGGCGACTCTGGGCCAGTGCAACGGTCATCAATATGAGCCAGTGGTCAAGGCCCTGGATTGTTCCCACGTGACCATGAAGAGGCTGCAATGGTCGTAAGTGTGAGAAGGGGTCATAAGCCCCTCTTTTCAGCGCTATTACAACTTCACAGGGTTACTAAATGAAGCGCTGTATGTTGAGGGCTCCTGAGGGTGGAGGGCTGGATGGTGTGTCATGGTCCTCCTGTTGCAAGGAAGACTCTGGCCTGTTGGTTCTCGTGGCTTGGCTCCTCTTGAGGGCATCTGGGGACCCTCCGGTGCAGAAGAGAAGGGCCTCTGTTGGGCCACCCTTCTTCCCTGCTTCCAGGGGATTCGGTTGCAGGTCGGAGTGCCTAGGAGCCTCT